TTGGGGAGGGGGGGGTAGTCTGTCTTTTCTGGTTTTCTCAAGGTTTTTGGATTTCTTTGAAAAAGTGTGAAGAACCTCGAGAAAGCAAAATCAACAAAGGACAAAAGCAAAACTATGTCAGCTGTCCTGACTTGGGTAGTCTTGCTTTTCCTTTTTGTTGCTTTTCTCGAGGTTTTTTTGCAAAATGTGTGAAAAACCTGGAAAAAGGGGACCAGAGAAACGAGGACACCACAAAGCAAGAAAGGAATGTGTCCTTTTGGCTTCCCCTCAAAACCATTCAAAGGCCCCTATTTTGAGCAACAAGGACACAACACAACAAGAATGGTTTGTGTCCTATTGGCTTCCCCTTAAAACCATCCAAAGGGGCTATTTTGAGAAACGAGGACACAACAATCAAAACCAGGGTGTTTCCTCTTCCCCTTGAAAGCATCCACACAAGGGACCAGTATTTCGAGAAACAGGTCATGTATCCTTAGTGGTGTGGACGCAGGAAGATGAGGCCCACGCTTCAGCCCAAAGAGCTTTGCCTCACTCCGGAGCTTTGGGTCCTGATCGAATGGAGCTCCATGGCCCGCACAGCGGCCATACGTTCATATGAGCACCAGTTTCAAGTAGAGAACCTTCGTAGGCGGGGATGTCCACTCTAGGCATATATGTATATAATATACATACCAGGGCCAAAAACAGTTATCCCGGATATCCCTTTGAACAACCTCTACATGGAAGGCTGACCCAATGGCACAAGGCTTTGCGGACGGCTTTCCTTTTTTGTCACCCTGAAGCTCCGCAAGTGGCTGGAACTGCCGTAACTTGCCACACTGCTTGAACGACAGCTTCACTTTCTGGCAGTGCCCTATTTGTGAAGTAGATGAGTTTCACAAGGTGCTGGCCTTGTCTGCAAGTCATGACTCAGTGGAAGAGTTTGTTCAGCGGACGATTCAAATAGAAGCCAGAGGTTACCATCGGTTCACGCAGCTGGCTGCTTGCTTGCCGGCTTTGAGGGCGCTATGGCAGTGGGAGATGCTTCGCGCTGTGAACCCAGAGTGCGCGATTTGTGCTGCTGTGTCTGTGTTGCTTGGCAGAGTTTTGCGGGAGAGATCAGTCTTTTCCTCAGCGCCTGCTTCACACGCAGATGCTGCTGCCCCGGTCACGCCTCCACCGCTGCATGAGCAGATTTCATCAGATGTGATTCTTGTGCTGGATTCCCCAGACGTGCGAGCAAAGCTATGTCCGCGCCCTGTGGATGACCTATTCGTCCAGTGTAGCTTGGAACGAACATTCAGTTGTGCTGGGTGTTTTTTGAGTGCAGTTCGGGATCTGCATAAAGAAATTTGCTTTGTTACGGATGCCACGGTTCGGTTGAACTGATAAAGGGGAGCTGGTCGGTCACGGTTCCCGCCCATCTAGGGTGCGTGTGCTTCCCCACGTCCTGGCTAGGGTGCGTGCGGGTTTCCACGTCCGGGATGGCTTGCGTGCGGGTGCTGTGGCCAAGCCAAGGTGGCTTTTCAAGCTACAGTTAAGGGGGGTCCTTGTCTTACCTGCACAGTAGATGGACAAAATATTCAAGCCCCTGTGTAACATTATTCTGTCACCCCCTTACCACCAAAGTTCAATGTTACGCAAGGGGGTTCTTTAAGTCTGCCTGACGGGGGTTTGATTGATTTTGTCCACTCGCCTGCATCCGCCAAACAACATTCAACTCTGGGGGTGCGGGGGTTATTTCAAACAGGGTTTGCCTTTGCGGCAGCAACTGCTAACGGCACCTGATGCGCCAGTACTCTCGGCAGCAAAGTTGAGGGCGCCGCAGTGGCGGCATGCAGCAATCATGGGCGACAGCGCGCGGACCGGACACCGGCGTCGCAGAAGTTATCCAGGCAAGTCACGGCCAAAAGAACGATTTGTGGCGAGGGGAACGGAGATGCGCCGGAGGGAACTGGCACGGCAGCAGCGGCTGCTTGCCGTTCAGCCGCCGCCAGACAGCTGGCCCTGCCCGCGCATCGCGGCAAGGCAAGCTGGCCGCTGTCGCAGGCCGCTTCATGGAACAATGGCAAGCATGCCTGCCAGGTGCTGCAACTACGACGGAGCCTGGAACGACAACGGCAGAATCGAACCCCCAGACTTGCAAGGGCTTGGTTAAAGACTGGCCGAGAACAGTCAAAAGACGTCAGGCCCAATCTCCAGTCGACTGGAGCTGGGTTTCACTTCGACGATGCCAGTTGAGCCAAGTTTCGTCGAAGCAGGAATGTGCAAACTTCACTAGACTTGGTTCGTGGGGTAAAGAGGTGGTCTAGTTTTGGCCTCGGCAGCCAAAGACTTGCTTAGGGGAGGAATGCGAAAGGACTGACACGAAAGAGGAGAAGAAATGGACAGAAACAGCTTTGCGCAGTGGTACAGGATAAGGTACCGAAATATATACATATGTAGATCATATAGCCTTTCAGTCCTTGATGCTGTCGGCGTAGAGGAACAAGTCTCCGGCAGCACCGGTGCTCTCGCTGCCATCGATCTGGAAGCCGCGGAAAGAAATGAGCTGTGCCCCTCCCCCCCCCAAAAAAAAGAAAGAAAGAGCAACATGCGCTGTTCCGTTCGACTTCCCTTTGCGCCAACGCTGTAACAAGTGTCGAACACAAACACAAACGCACAAGCCCACGAGTATGAGCAACTTGGGTGGCTCTCCAGGCTTTTGTCGGACATGTGGAGAGTTATGGTCTTTCGCTCAGGCTTGGAACGCTCTCAAAATATGGTCCAACATGATTTTGCAGGTCAAATATGTCCACCGAGTCGACATGAACTGGCATGTCAAATTTCAATGGAACGGTGTCCACCGAGAGGGGAAGGACGTTATCACACTGTTTCCGCTACCAACTTTTCTCGTTCCCTCACACCGCACCAACCAAGCAACCAAGCCCAAGCAACCAAGCCACCTGCCAACCAACCGGTCCACAGGTCCACCGGTCGGATCCACCTTGTCCCATTTCTCCAGCCGCGCCTTGACAAAGCCGAAGCCCTCGGAGTTCCGCCTGCCCGGCCTGGCTGGGCCGACGCCCTTGAAGCGCCAAATGGCCATTTTGGGGGGGAGCCCGCAAAATCGCGGTTCTCCTTGTGGCCTCTCTTTAAAACCCAAGAAAGGCACCTCGAAGAAAGACACACACACACACACAAATCGCTTCCGTTCTTCAACACCACGAAACCCGCCCTACAAGGATGAGGAAGGGTAGGGAAAAGTCTTGTCCATGCGCAAAGGGGTCTTCTCTGATTTTGGATCGCCCTTCCAATCATCCACCCAGGGCCGTCTCTCCTACCATGCTCGATCAGTTTGCCTATGCCTTTCTAAGACCAAGGTCACTACCCCCAAAACACTACCCCCAAAAGCCCATATTTTGTGCTCCAGGGGACCCTTCAAACTGCTTGATGTTTGCAATTATTTGCCTGCAGCTGCGTGGCCCCTAGAATGGTGTGAGTCCCTACCAGCACAGTTCTTCAGAATGGCTTAGCCTGGTGCCCGTCTACCGCGTGGCTAAAAATGGTGAACTTTTGTGGTCGATTGTCCCGGTATTCGAAAAGCAATTTTGGGACTGTTGCCACCCACACTGACTCCGGAACTCCCGCGTACTATCCGCGCGCTACCGCCCCAACTACCCCCAAACCGGGGGTAGTGGTATGATTCATCTACCCCCAAACCGCGCGTTTCAAAGCAGCAAACGAAACTGGCTGCCAAGAAAGCAAAGCTTTGATGTTCACCTTAAACAAAGATACCGGCGCAAACCAAGCGTTGATGTTCACAAGTTTCAACGTCAAAACTGAGCAGCGAACCCGGATGAAACACATGCCGCAGCTCCAGAATTACTGGTTTCTGCAGCAGCCAAATATGCACAAATGGAGGCACCCTCGTATAACCCTTATATAACCCTTTCCTAACCCTTATATAACCTGTATACATCCATTGGCTTCTGGGGGTAGTGGTTTGGGGGTAGTCAATGTAGTCTTACAGGGCCTCGCATTCGTGACACGCCCACTCATAGCTCGCTTCCCTGCTCAAGGAATCACAAGCAGCCTGGGAAAGTTCCAGTTTGACACTGTGCCAGTCGGCATCTTCAAAGACCTCAAGGCCGCTCGCCAGCATATACTGACAGACAACTCAAGCAAAATATTATCCTGACGTGAATCTCCAAGCATTATGCCATGCCGATCCCGAAGTAAAGCGAAACGCTGCTTCGACATGTCAAGCCGTCTGTGGGTTGGGTGAACGCTGAACGTACAACTCATCCCGCGGACTGCAACCTGCAAGCGAACTTGATTGCGCCCTGGGAAACTGTGCTGAGAGCCCGGCGAAGCAAAGAAACTGAGCTGGGATCCGAGTCGTGCAATGTTTTTCGGATGTTCAAGTGGCCGTATGTTCAAATCCCTGATCTGCTGTATTTGTTGCTTCATTGTGGAGCTGCCATCAAAAGGCAGTTAATCACAATTGATTGAATTTATTTTGACCCAGTTCGAGAACAAATGCTGCAAGACGCAGTGCCAGTTCAAGGCTAAGCAAGTGAGGCAGCCAGCGCAAGGCTGCTTGCAGCAGTGCGACATGCATGGCAGTTGAGCCGTGGTCAACATCACGTCGTCAATTGCGGGGAATGGTCAAGCTGCCCCAAAAAAGGACCCTCACAATCGTTGTCTCACCTCTGCTTGATCTGCTCCGGGCCCAGTCCCCAGGCCCCAGGCCCCAGTCCCCAGGCCCCAGGGCCCAGGCTGGCAGGTACCGAGTGTCGCCCTTTTGTCGGTTGCGCTGTTGTCCAATCGATCAGGGTGGTCCTTTTTGCCCCTTCTTTTGGAGTTCGGTATACCTCCGGGACAATGTTTCCAAGGTTGTCCAAAAAGGACCACCCTCCACCCCCCGGCCACAACCTTCCTTGTGATTCCATATCGACATAACCGATATATTCATAATAAACGCTTTGTTCCCCGGGTGTGGTCAGCATTGTCAGCTGGAAAACATGACATCCCTGGAA